CAGAGGGTGCCTATCCTCACAAAATTTATGGCCCATGGTCCTCCTTCCAAGAAATTTTATTGCTATCCTCTTCATAAAACCAGTGCAGTGAAATGAATTAGAAGACATTTAGATCATGGATTATCCAGGGCTCGACATTACTCCATTAGCGGATCCAGAGTTTAATTTTGGGGGAGAGGGAGCTTCAGCCCGAAATTTTTTTTTAAAATATATATAACGATAATTACTTTGGAAAAAAAAAAAGAAACATATTAAATACCTATATTGAATGGTGTTTAGGTTATTCTTGAAGTCCAATTAAACGTAATTACACAAACAATAATACTTAATGAGATTTTTTATTTATTTAGACATATAATAATCTGTCTCGTGGACAATAATAATAGTGATATATGAACACATTCACACCATATATACAGAAAATAAAAAATTAACGAAAATAATAATAAAAAAAACTATGTACTATAAAAAATAAAATAACCTAAAAATAAGTAAATTAAAAACACAGTAGTGCCTATATAGATAGATAGAAAAAAAAACTTTATTCTGGGACTAAGTCCCTTCAGAATAACAATAATATACAAAATAATAGAATATTACTGGCCTGAATGTTGAAACAATAAATAAAATTGATAAAATAAAATAAAAAGTAAAGAAAACCTTAGGTGCACAAGCTATATACAATACAGATAAAACTATGTACAGAGCATTTAAAATTATGAACAAAACAATTAAAACTATGAACGAATCACTTGAACTATGAACAAAATTATATTTAAGGGTTGAACAACATAAACATACACTTTGAGAAATGAAGAACGAAAAAGAGATACAATGAGTTCATTTCATAAAAAAAAAAAAAAAAAAAAAAAAAAAAAAAAAAAAAAAAAAACTTTACTTGAATATATATATATATAAAAATAAACAGTTACTTATAATTGAATAAAAAAAAAAAATAAAAAAAAAATGTATGTATTGAAATTCCTACGTCGATAGTAGGAAATGCATTTACTATCTCTTACCAAGTTTTATGATTATATGATTGCTACACAATACATATATAATATTAATGGTTAGCTGGTATGAGACTGTTTTTGGAACAGGAATTGGAATAGGAGGTTTTTGAATGTATACAGGGAAGGAGCATGTCGAATTTTGATCGGGAGGGAATTCCAAAAGTTGACAGAGCGGGCTATAAAGGAATTTTGGAATGAGGCAGATCTATGAGAAGGGATGTATAGGTCAGAGGGTCGGGATCTTGTAGTGAGTGAATGGATTGAGGACTTAAATTGGAGAATACAATATATATATACAATATATACAATCAAGCAGGGAGCCCAAAGCTAGGCTTTTTCTAACTATAGAAGGAAAATCAGGACTCCGAGAGATCCCTGCGCTACTCTCTCAACCGGGTCATTGGAACTAAAGCCAGTGGTAACTTTAAGAGATATTTTTTACCATAAAACATGTTTACATTTTACCATTTTGCGGGGGGGGGGGGAAGGCTTCAGTCTGAAAGCCCCTCCTCCCCGTAGATCCGCATGTTCCCCCCTCATATTTTAATGAAAATTAATAAATAGTCAATAAATACACAAATTGGGGAGTCTTTTAAATCCCCGCCCACACTCCCTGGCCCGGGAAAATCCCGTATAGCCTTAACGGCGAGGAAGGGAAGGACCAAAAAAAAAAAAAAAAAAAAAAAAAAAAAAAAAAAAAAAAAAAAAAAAAAAAAAAAAAAAAAAAAAAAATACACAAATATGTAAAAATACCATATTTTAACGATTAGTTTCAAAATTATGGGTTCTTAAACTTTTGAGATATTTGAAATTAGGAAGGCATTTTGAGCTGGAAACATGTACCTGCTTGGTTTTACTACATAAAACTAATATTTATTTAACTACAACTTCATTTATTTAATTGTCATAAATTAAATGCAGAATCTTCTGATGCCATAAGTTTAGCAATATAATTTTTCATGTATAAAATTCTTTAACCAAAGTTTTCAAAGTTGTGATACATATATCGAAAACTACCTGTAGCTTAAATCTTTCTCCAACTAGAACCATCTATGGACCAATTCCGGTTTCATATTTACACGCTTTGTACATGACAAAATGCATAGAATGCCAAGAACTACTTTTTTTTTAACTAAAAAGAAGTAAATTAAAATTTTAAAATGTTAGATAAACAAACGTTTTGCCAATACGAAGTGTCCTTACTCTACAAAGCCAGCCAATATGTCTTGGTTCGAACGACAATGTAATCTGCAGATTCACTATTCGTCACACTTTTTCAAAGGCCATCTCGACTATTGTTCCGTATCAAAATACAACTAAAATGAAAACCATCTGCACTTCTAAAGTGATAATTAGATATTTTGATATTTAAAAAAATAAATTACGTTCATTTCACTAACCTTTGTGTCTTCGCAATACTCTCTGTTATTAATGCATATTTAATCCCTCACACATTTGTCACAGATAATTGATAAGTATGTGTGTAGTTAAGTTGATACCTTTAATAAAGAAAGTAGGGATCGTCCTTACCGATATTAACATCGGTTCTCGGCACTCGTGGATCCAGGATTTAATTTTGGGGAAAGGGGGCTTCACCCCTAAAGCTTTTTTTATCATATATATAATGATAATTACTTTGGAATTAAAATAAAGAAACTGACTACCTTTTGGAAGAGGACATAAAAAACCATTTGGATCAGTTTTTTAACAATAAACTCCAAACATTCATTATGCAGTTAGTGGCAAGATGGGAAAAAGTCATATATTAATTCATAGTCAATATATTGTATATTAAAATAAATTTTATGTCTATAATATATTGAGTCTTATTTCATCCTGAAAAAACGAAAGGAATTATTTATCAACCCAATTGTATATATTTTGAATATTTATTTAACTCAAATCAATCATAGAAACAAATATGGACCAATAAAAAAAACATTTTGTGTTATACATTCAATAAAAAGATTACTGAAAAATTTTAATTGCTTGAATTTTTAATTTATCAGGGATTTTCTGCTACATTTTAATAAAAAATATATAATTATTTTGGTAACTGATTAGACAATAAATCTAATCAAATTATCGAAATAATAAAAAGATATGAATCTTACAATAGATTATAAAATTATTTTGTAACATTTACATAACAGAAGCTAAGTTCTTCATTGATTACCTTTTATCTCTCTTATTGCATAAGAACTGAGAAGCCCCATAATCTAGTTATAAATTCTGAAACCATAAAATAAAAGGAAATAACAGTGTTGTCCTCAATGGTAAATATTTTTAGTTTGAAAACATTCTCATGTTAGGTCAAGAATATTATGTCTTTGCTTAAAATCTGTCACTTTGTCAAAGTTTCAATTTTTTTCCCAACAAGAAACCTATTCCACATCAAATACAATATAACTATAATTAACATTTTACATAAAAAATTAAAAAATTATTTTGTATTGCATATTTATACTTGTTTAATAAAATATCAATTAGATTAAAAATTATCATGAACCACTACAGGATCAATCCATACCAAGTCTTAAAAAAAAGAATGAAAATAAAGCCTTACCACACTTTGTAAAATCATTCACTGATGTTTTAGTAATTTAAAAACATTTTTTTATTGTATTTAGTTTTCAAATGGTATTCATTTTTACAATAATCAAATCTATACTCTTCCAGGTAGGGGTTAATCTAGAAAGTCTCTTGTCTACCACCTAAAAAGTCGTCAGGATGGAATGTACGGGTTCGTGGTGGAATTAAATGTTTGGACTAATGGATTCATGTTGTAAGTCAGTCTCTGGAGGAAGTTTTTATAGAATTGTGTTGCAGTATCTGAAATAGTTTGTTTGGATATCCAAGACGTAGCAATTCATTTGTAACATAGTAAGATACGCCTGCGTTTTTTGGCAAAAAGTTTGATTGAAAGCTTTGAAAATTGTGGATGTTAAGACTTTTTCGTAGTAAAAATCTTTATCCAATATGATCATCAAGATTTTATAATTAAATTGTCAATAGTAATTCTGGCACTTGTGAGCGACGCGGGCACTATAGACTGCTATCTGCATTTATCATGTTATTTAAAGCGTTGTTGTTGTTATTTATTTTTCTTATTATTAAATTACTATATTATTATTATATTTATGTTTCTTATTAATATATAATAAGAAACAGGCAAAAAAGAGGCAACACCAAATATATTTATATTTCTTATTATACAAGAGTCTGATTTCATATGAAGATAGGGATTATTTAATAATAAGTAGTTTTTAATAATAAGAAGCAGTAATTTAATAATAAGAAATATAAATAACAACAACAACACTTTAAATGACAATATAACTGCAGATAGCAGTCCATAGAGTCCGTGTCGCATACAAGTACCGTAATTCTGTTAGTTAAGGATAATAAGTAGTGTCTGTCAAACAAATGAAAAAAAAATTAAATTTCTTAGAATTATTTCAGCAGAATTACTCATCCTTTTAAAATTATGTACTAAGAAAAATTGAATTTTGTTGTGATTTTACATCTATAATTTTTCTGTTGTAGCCAGACAAAAATTTAGCACTCTTCAATTTTGGAAAAGTGGGCCCATCTCTAGAAGGCAACCACACAGAGTTTAGAATAGAAACCATCCTCTAGTGGGCTGGAGTTAAAGTTTTGTTAAATGTTTCATTTTATAAGTTTAATATCAGCAGTGGTATAAACATTTTGTTTATTTGATATACCATTACTATCAAACACATATGGCCAAAAGGTAAGATAGCATGGAATAAATAAATAGACATTATTTATTCTTTGAATGGTTTTTAACCAAAGGTCACCAACAAAGTCCTTCTTTTTTTACTATCCTTATATTGTTGCTAATGTTTCTGCTACAACATATCATGTACCTTCTTTAAATTTTTATCATTTTAGAATTTTTTTTTTTATTTATTGTTACATTCCAAATCTACCTGAGCAGATCATTGGCGGCTTTAGATGGAATTAAATTAGGTGGACAAATTTAATGTCTTTTATGAATTCAAATACTTTTTGTATTTTTTTTCTTCGTCATCTGAAAGTGCGTCAGATATGTTGGAAAGTATATTATCTTTTGTTCTGGTGTCAGAGTATAGTCTGCAAGTTGTTACAATGTAGTTTACATTGTTGTTTACATACAATGTTGTTTCAGTGTAAGTGATGCGTTGCATGTTTTACAAAATGGTGGTTCCAGGCCTCTCATCAGATAGACGTGGGTGACGGCTGTATGTACGATTCTAAGTCTAGTTAAAATTGTTTCCTCTGATCTGTTCTTTCTGAAAGTGGTTGTCCATGGTTGGATATCTTTTTAATTTCTTGCAATTTGTTTGTAGATTGGTTCCATTTAAATTGTCATTTTAGCATTAAAACGTTCATTGTTCATTAAAATGGTAATTTGGTTGAAATTATTGGTTCATGGAAATCCTGATGTCTGATTTTATTTAGCTTTCTACTTATGACTTATGAAAAAAACAAGTCATAAGTAGAAAGCCAAGTAAAATCAGACATGAGGTCTTCCACCACCTCGTAATATCAATGAAATTACCTGAATATTTAAAAATGATTAAAATTTAAAGAAGGCACATGATAGTTCATATTTGAAAATACCATATGGAAAAGGATAGTAAAGAAAAAGAATATTTTGGTTATCCCTGACCAAAATTCATTTGAATGATATAACAACACCAAACATAAAAAGTATGAATAGAAAAATAAGTATTTTACTATTCTTCTTATATGGGAAAGGATAAAATATAAAACAAAAATCTTTCATATGTGTATTTAATAAAATTAAATAAATTACATAATTAGAAAAATTAATATTTACAAGCATTTAACAATATCCAAGAATTTAATACAATAATTTAAGTCTTGTAGCATTGTCTTTCAACGTGGACAATTACATGATTTGCAGCTATACCAACGCAATATATACATGACCCTGCATAGAGTGATAAAATAAAACGATACATCACTTTCAATCAGTTTGTTTTTCTTTTTTTCAAAGTCACTTACTTAGCAAAATAAAATTCAAAAATGTTTTTTAAAAAAATTGATAATTCATGTTGTGTTATTGGTGTAAAAATAAGTCAACTGACTGGTTTGCATTCCGTAGGGCACCAAAATGCTAAAGCACCAATACTATAACGCAATATTCATTTACACAGTAGCAGTCTGATAAATTTTGAAATGTTAGCATGCATACATTTCTATTTATTAAACCTTATTAACTTTTGTACATATATATTTTTTATTTATAATGTATCATATATAATATATGTCACATAGGTGCCTTTTTTTTTCTTCAAAGTCTAAATAAAAATTTTCTAACTTACAAAATAAAACCATTCTAAAGCTACTTACAAAATACTTTTATTTATAAGGGATTTTCCACAAAAGTCATACGAATCTTTCCGTTCCATATTCATCTTTGAACGACAACTTGGCAACACTAAATGCTACAAATGTGACAAAACAAGAAGACCTAGTTTAGACAGGCTTAGTGCTAAATTTTACATTTAACTTAAATTAAGAATGAAAACAATTTGATAATTAAAAGTTATACACAATAAATACACCAAGAAAAAGAACACGTAATTATTTTGTGCGCTTTGTAGTTATCAAGATGACAAACAAGAAGTTTTGATGTGAAATTTGTAAAAAATTTCATCTAAAGCATTATAAATTTTTGTGCAATTATCATTAAACAAATATTTAAAAAAAGATAAAGGCATCTTATAAACTGTTATAATTGATACAAATAAATTAGGTAAGATGAAAATGCAATTAAATTTGTATTATCTTACATTTATTCTTTCTACATTCTGTAAACACAGTCGAACTTCCGTTTACAAAAAAATTAATATGTAATCAAAAAGTAATTAAATGACTTGTTAAAATGGAAAATAAAAATTATTTAAATTGATTAATAAAGTGTAATTGTAATCAAAAAGGGCCTTTATAAAAATAATCAATTCTGAAACAAAAGTTCAACCTCATAAAAAATGTAAAAATCAAGATGAAAAATAGAGATATGACAAAAAATTTAATAAGTGTTAACAAGGACAATATCAGTAATTTACTAAAACTGTGATTCAGTTAAGACAAAATATTGCAACCTTTCTAAGCATTTAACTTTTTTTCAAAAATCTCTATACACAAAGGTTGTACTGTGATTTGAAACATAAAAAATTCAATTATTTTTCTTCTTTAAAGTTCATACATCGTTGTGGGTGCTGATATTATATCTCGTATAATACGAATAACGAATAACATGTCCCAATTGTATTTGCTTAAATAAATTTTAAAATTATATTTCTAAAAATGAGCTTGAAGAGCATTTAAAAATATACAACTGGATAAAATAATTATTTGCACAAAAGAAAAATAGTGCCAATATGAATTTTTATTTTAAAACATATAAATATAAATTAACACTAAGCTCATGTAATCTAGGTCCGATAAATACAAATAAAAATATAAAACATACTTCACTCTCTACAACGGGTTCATTTCGTTGATGTTATAAAATGTGAGCAATCGAATTAATGGTGTACCTAAATAGTGAAAAGGACACGCATAACATAGCCAAAATTATTAATAAAAGTGACAAAAATACACTTAATCAATTCTTAAGTTACTTAGAAAATTTACTAAGAAAAAAATGCAACTGTCTTAAATTTTATGTGAACCGCAAATGCAGACTATCCTGCTGGCTGGACAAGAATATCTCAATTTCTTTTTTTTTTTCTATAAAAACACTTATTTAAGACACCTATTAAATCTGTATTTAAGCAAAGGAAAAAATAAAAATAAAACAGTAGTTTTCAAAGCTATAGGCAAGTATGAGAAAGAATGGCCGACTAGTAACATCTATTATGAATATGTAGTCAATACATCCATAATTAAAATATCAATGAAAACAGCAAATCATCAATTATATCACTACTACGTAGTAATACAATCATCTAAAAGTAGTAAAGAAGAGAGTAGATACTTAGGATTGCAAACAAATGATGTCAACTTTTTTATGGCGCCCAACAGGTCAAACAAGGCTGTGGTGTACTAAATAAAAAAAGTTTATGCTTGGAATTGACTTATGGCCGGATTCAATCTTGGAAAGTTTTAGGTCAAAGAAGTTTAAGAATTTTAAGTCATTGAGTTTTATTTTTGTTTCTACTTTCATAATAGAAGACATAATATAGTCTATATTAATATTGTGTTATGAGTCATTCACTTATTGCACATTTTAGGGAGACAAAATGCAATAAAACAATGAAACTCGTTCAAAATGGAATCATGAATAATATATATGTTCAAAGCGATTTCTATGTTTAAATTTATAGTTAAGAATGAAAATAAATGTTCCATAAAAATAATAAAAAAGAATAGCTGACGTAAATGGTACTTTGCTGTTCCAATATTTCTTATATTCTCCAAAATGTTTGGCTTTACAATTTTACTTTTTATATATGACCCTTATCAAAGAATATTTCTCAGCCATCTTTACTTTTACTGGTCATTTATTATTATTTTTTTATTATTCCCTTTCTTTTTCATTAAGCTTCTTCCCTCTACCTCATCAATTTAGATGATTGTGTTCTTATATAGTAATAACATATTCAATAGTTCACTTATTAACTATACTTATAATTTCAAATTATCAACATCCATATTTAATTCTAGTACAAATATTAAACAATTTACAATGATATACTACATGTGAACTATTGCTTTAATTATTTATTTATTTTTGTGATAAAATAAAAACTAAGAAAGACAATATATTTTAAAAATTTATTCACGAGTTTATAAAATTTAAAATTTGAGGCATAAAAAATATTCACATAGGGAAATGACTTTGAGTCATTTAAATAATACTAAAACTAGATTAACTTATTCTAAATATGTTGACAAAATATTTTGTTCTCTCGTTTACAAAAGGTTTTTTACAATAAAAATTAATTTAAAATAAAATTAATTTCATAAACAATTCTTTTAGAATCATTACTATGAAATACAAAGTGCATGTGTATTTTTATAGTACAATATGTCTAAATTGTCACTGCGTTAGCTATACATAGCTCTTTCTCTATAATTATTATTATTATATTACAAAAAAGCACAATTTTCAATAAAATCAAGGTACTCTTCTAATAGTGTGTATTTCATAATAGCAAAAGTACCTAGCTTATCTTCTTCCAATTTTTATATCATTGTTCGCTAACAATTAACAATTTTTAGTGGTGTCACAAGTTATTTTATTCTTATATATCTTTTGGTAATTATAGTGTAATTATTGCACTTGATATTTAATAATAGGTAATACAAAATCAGTATTATTACGAAATGTATAAATTTAATGGTTAGATAATTTATTATAATATAAATAGATATATTTATAATTTTTCTTAAATTAATTATATTGTAGTGAAAGCCTGAAGAGGTGAACTCCCAAAATGGTGATATTTATTTTAAGTAAAAACACGCAAAACAGAGGAGTAGAATATTTATGCATTAATAATTCACATACTTGAAATATCTGTCATTGCATAGTGCAAACCATATTCATCAAATTTTGTATAATTTTCATATAGAAATAAATTGATATTTATTTTATATATGTACTTTATTTAGCCTTAAAAAAATTACTTAAAATTTATAAATTTTATTTTATCTTGTCCAAATTAACGCTCATTATATAAGTATGTTAATTTACTAGAAAGTATGTTCTTTAATAAAAAAAAAAACTAAAAAAAAATAAAATAAAATAAATAAACCATTATGAGAACTTCTTAACAAATCAAATGGGGAGATTTTTGTAGTTATACAGGTAAAATATTAGCTTCTTTGACTTGGAAAAGAAACAATATTAATATTAACGACTTTGAGTCATCAATGGCTTAATGTATTAATTACATTTAAAGTTAAATATCAAAAATATTTTCTTCAGTCACTCTTCTCAACCAAATAATTTTGGTCATGATCCTTGAAATTTTCTAATTGTATCTCTTACAATCAACGTTCTCTTATAATGAGGGACGATATGAATCAAAGATTCAATTTTAAAAGCCTGATATCACAAGCGAATCGGGGGCTGTGATTTATTTAAACTTATATTATTTGTTCTACCATCGCCTAGTAGCTATGCTTGTTATTGCCACCAACTAATTTGGGTTTATATTTTTCAAGTGAGAAAAATCAACATCTGTGATCTATATAAAGCTATAATAGTGTAAAAAAAAGTTAAAAATAAAATTTATCATCTTCAGTTTACTTATAAGATTTATAAAAGCAACCAATGGATCCCCAATTATTTGCCCAATGAAGAACGTAAACATAAAATATAAGATAAGTATGATTTGTTTTTTTTCTAAGGAACTGTAGCGCTATCTGGCATCTCATTAAAAAAACCAATGAACATTTTGGAAGCCACACTATTGGAAGAGTACCAATATCGAATAGAGTTTCAATTATCAATTCATAGTGTGCATGCACTCGGTGCATCTTTAGTAAAATTTAAAATATGCTGATATTGTTTAATAACAATAAAAGAGTGATAGGCACTGCATCATGTCCTAAACAGTATACAACCTCCTACTTAATGGCTTTAAGCCAACGCTTATACAATTCACAATTTATTTTTTAAGTAATACATTATATCACATAACAAAAAATATATTCATATATATATTTTTTTAAATATAAATTGTATATAAACTGGCAACGTTAATATAAATCATCAGCTTGAACTGCGTTATATTTAACAAATGAATTCGAAAAAAGAGATATAGGAGGCGTTGGGCGAAACAATATTTTCGATAATAATACTAGAAGGTAACAGAGCAAGGAACTAATAAATATGTGAGATCGAATAAAATAAAAAACAATTATACCTGTGAAGATTTTGAATCTTGTAAATCTGTTAAACTTGATCGGGGTGAAAATAGTGTAGATTCCTGAAAAGACAAATAATGATCAAATACCCAATAGAATAATGATATTTACGGACCATTCTCACAGAACTGGCCACTTTCTATATTGAATTCCTTGAAAATTTAAAGTGTAAAAAAAATTCTAAAAAAAAAAAAAATAATAGCAAGATCTTCCTCTATTAGAAGTTTAATCACCAGCCACATACAAATATACTTTTTCTACTTGAAAATAAAATGATAAGGTAAAAGAAGGAATTAGGTATGACGCATATTGTGAAGGAAACTACGATGGGATATGGATGAAACTTTGAAAACATAAATACATTATAAGGAGAAAAAAGAATTATCATTTGTAATTAACAGTTGAGGAAATGGCAGGAGGAAAAGCAGTATTTTTTAAATGTTTCTCTGTCATTTTAATTATGTCCTTTATAGAATGGTACAATAAATAAAAATAAAGCGTTTCACATCAATATTTCATGGTACAAATTCTTCCTAGCCTATAAAAATTTTTATTAATGAAAATTCTCAGAAACAGAGTGTTTTCTCATGGATAATTGGGTACTAAAAACTCATAAATACCCATTTGCTTTCCATTTGAATTATAAGATAAATTGATCACAAAATCGAAAAGAAAGGGGCCTACAAAAGTATTGGGCCATTTTTCACTCATTATTTTGACATGTTGGGGGTAAAGATCACGCCAAACAGCCCAATATTTTGTAGGCCACCTTATTCTCAATTTTCTGATCAATTTTATTTATTTATTTGGTAGTTCATACATAGTTAATATATTTTTCAAAATAACAAAACTCCAGGAACTTTCTCAATTTCCAATTCAATTTGGTGCTACTTTCACCATCGTAACATTTTATCTTGGATATTGGAATCCAAGAATCATATAAAAAAAAGAAAACATACAAACATTAAGTTATAATATACTGAGCATTGCATTTACATACAAAAAGCAGCTGCGTCGATAAAAGTATAAAAGAAAAATATACATACATACATACATAAAATACACACTATATATAAAGTAATTTTAAAAACTACGGAGGTAGCAATCCCTCCGCAATATAAGTCGTAAGAAAGTAATACTATAATACATAACTAAATAAAAAAACAAAAAAAACAAAAACAAATAAAAAACAAATAAATAAAAAAATAAATAAACATAAAATGAAAGAAATAAAAATGAAATAAATAAATAGATAAAAAATAAAGATAAATATAACAAAACGTAAACATGTAAATTATGACATCGATTTAATCATCGAGTATCACGCTATAAACGAGGAAGCAGCCTGAACCAATTACTGTAATTCATGTGGGACCCTTTAAGGACTCTTATTGTAATAGCGTTCATCATTCTCTTGGGAATGCCCAACATATCCATGTCTTGGAAAGATCGTCGGCACCATATTCCTCTCCAAGTTATTGTGAGCGGCAGTACTTTTATGTCCACGCCTGGCACTCCCAGTGTACGCCCGATCAACACTGATCAACTTATATTAGAATTCAAGGGGAAAGCAAATGGGTGTTCATGAGTTTTTAGCCCCTAATTAAAATAGACAAAGCTTGCCGATCTCCAGATTGAAAAAACCCCAATGCTAAGAATTTTCATAATTAAAAAAGTTCTATGAAGCTATTCATGAAGTCTTAAGCGGATGTTAACAATTTGGTTAAAAGGTGTCTGTGCCATGGACTACAAGAAAGGAGTTTAAAAAATATTAGTTTGTTATTTACCTTTATATGGATAGCGTGGGAATGATGTTCAATTTAAACACGCAGTGATTCTGCCTCCCCAATTTCCTCTTGGGGAACCAACAAAGCAACTGAAATCCTTCTTCAACACTATTGGCTGGGAGAGGGGGGGAATGATCTCACCTGAGTCAGATTAAATCACGAAAAATACAGAAAACGAACAGAGTGAGAGAATGATGAAAAATCTTGGACCCATCTTTTTCAACTTGTGCTTTACATATTGATTCTAAATAAAAAATAATCTTGTTTCATATATTTAGATGTTTACCTCATAAGGATATTAATGTTTGAAAGTTTTAATCCCACTATAAATTGCCTGCTATGAGAGTTAAACTTGGAAAGTTCTAATATAGACACAATGAGAAAATAACTAATTCACTTCTCTATATGACATATTTTTCATCTTTAATTTGATAACACATTGTAAATTATTTTGAAACTTTGAATACATTAATCAAAATTGGCAATCATAATTGACCTGTTTAGTGAGAATGACCCTGATAATAAAATAAAAACTTAGAATCACAAATATTTTCCCATGAGATAAGTCTTACAATAATTCATTTTTGTGATATTTTGTTGAGAAGAAATTAGTAATTAGGTCATGAATTGGATAAAAATAGATGAAATTATGAGGTGTGGCAATTAAGTAACAAGACTGATGCTGTAAAATATTTTATTTTGATTTCATAAAGATCAACCTTTAATATACACTCCTCCTCTATCTCTTAAATGCTCTCTGTGAATCTTCCATTGTCTGGAACAATGCTAAAAGTCTTCTGATAGCTTCTTCACGATGCGTGCCGCATACTCTTTCACAGCTTCAACAGACTCAAATCTTGTTCTTTTTAATGCAGATTCATGAATCATGGATTTTTACTTAAGATACTGAGATGAAGCACCAATTCATGCACTGAAAGAACACAACTTCACCAAGAGCCAAAAAAGCTCAAAGATCAAATCAAAATTCAATGATAATTGTTTTCTTCAATATCCATGGGATTTTGCACCTTCACTTCATGAAGGTCAAACTATTAATCAACATTACTCCATTTACGTTCTTGCTGAAAGAGAAAGCGGCACTTTCTGAAGGAACCGACAGAAGACTCTACCAATGTTTTAGACAATAGAAGATTCATATGGAGTGTTGTATGGAAAGAATAGAGATGTTTGCTGAAGGTGATAATTATAGACTGGATTTTCGTGCAGCAAAAATCGAAAAATGTGCAATATAAAACTCATAATGTGTGAAATTGCGCAATAAAAACCCAAAAAGTGTAAAATTAAATACAAAACAAATTCAAAAACTATGAATTTAGTTTATAATGTTAAAGCTTGTTTAATCTTATTTAAAGGGTTTTATCCTCTAAATTGAATTACGTATTACGTGTAATAATGTGAGAAAATTTTAATTATAATTTAAAATGAATGATGATTAACCTAATCCTATATTAAAGCAGATAACAAAAAATTAATCTAATATTTTTATAGAACGGAGCATATTTCAATTGAAGCTTGATTTTACAGCTGTAGATCAATTTTTTTTTTTTTAAAGTAGATTTTGAGTTAAGCTCCTTAGCTTTTATTAAAATCTATATTCCTTTGCACTACCTGGCGGTGTTTTGTCAAAGAATATTCAGCCAAGCATCAATAAAACGTTTTTTACAAATATTTCTGTACTTGTTTGTATGAAAACTCGAAAATAAACAGAGACATGTTTTGAAACCGTGAATACATATTCTAAACGAAATTTGGTTTAAGTATTTTACATTAGACTGTTAAAACTGAAATTTAATCCTTAAATAGTAAAATATGCAATATGATGCAACAAAAACCAAAAATGAGCAATAAGCCCAAAAAGGCCAAAACATGCAATTTCATGAAAAATGAAATTTCAATATGTTATTCTACATATTGTGAAAAATTGTGCAGTAACATGATAATCTGGTCTCTAGTGATAATAAATATATATGAATGAAATCAAATTAAAATGTTTTATAGGGTTAATCTCATTATTTGATAGCCATACCTCGTCTTTTACTTCCATTATATTAAATTTAATGTTAAATTTGTCTGTTGCAATTATAAAATTAATAAAATACTAACCATTTCTTGAAGTGAGTCCAACCTTGCAATAGGTGCTAATGGTTGTGGTGGACTTGGATCTGATTCGTCACAACTCGTAACACCGCGACTAGAAGCCAGGACTTGTCTTCTTCGAGCTGTATCAGCCCTCCAAACATCACCTGCTGCATCTCTGTAAACAGATTACCCCAATTATGATACTTTAAATATTAAAGATATTTTAATATGGAGAAATAATAACAAGGCTATCCTCCTGTAAGACTTCTTCCATGACTAGCTATGATTTAAGAATATCTCTTTGTGAGCCATGACCAGCATAGACAACTCTCATCATTAGGATATTTCCTGTTTCTTACATCACTCCATGGTGATCTTTATGATATTCTTATAGTTTGCTAATTTTGTTAGAGACACAATTTTTTATTTACATTAAAAAGTAGTTTGCATAAATATATGTGTATCAAAGTAAAAGTAGTGGATAAATATTAAACTTGTAGTTAAAATTACAATTATCCAATGTTATTTGGATAGTAAATAAGAAAAACAAATTGATTATACTCACATTTGGTTGGAAGGAAGAGAAGGGTCATCATTGTACCTCTGAAGTCCCTGAGGCTGAAACAAAATTAGAATGGTGAAAATACGTGGTTCAAATATTTTGAAGAATATATAAAGACTAGTTGGCCCGTGAGAATAATTCGCAGACAATTTTCTTTAGTGAAGGAATAGCAAAATAATATGGAAATAAGTATATCCTATGTATTATGTAAGGGAGGAATTATTTATTTTTCCTTGGTCGATTACAATATTCCATTTAACATAATAGACCAAAATATTTGTACAAATTCTTTTGCTAGAGCCTTTTTCTAAACGCTGACTGAAAAAGTAACATTAAAAATAAAGCCTCAATGATGGGATTTTCTAAATAATTAAAAAATATAAAATGTACAAACAAAAAATTCCTTTAAGAAATAATAAAGTATACATCAGCCACGAAAAAAATGATAGTAGAATAGTAAATGCAGGATCTTTAAAGAGGAAGAAATAATTAATTATACCAAAACTAATGGACTGTATCTTTGTTAATAATTGTCCAATTTTTATTTTATTTTTTGTTTTGTAGAGGTGATTTAGTGATCTTTCTAATTAGCATGGTTACAATCAAGAAAAAATGCATACTTTTTGAGTTATTAACAAATAAAATTTCTTTTCCTTCATAACTTTTTTCCCAGAAATTTCAGGGGGATAGGACTATTTTTTGCATGTGAAGGAGAAGAATATCTTCAAAATGAGTGGTCAATCATTGGATATGATGAAGAAATGACGATGTTAAAACATACCGACAAACAAACACCTTTAAGAAATAATATATAAGATTATTATATTTAGAGAGTAATAGTTTAAATTTTTAAAAATACCACAATATTTCCAAATATATATTGGATCAATAAAAAATATTTTAGACAGTAAGAAGATAACATATCACCTTTTATTAGCCATTTCAAATAATCAAAATAAAATATCAGTCAAAAACATGTTTAAAAACTATATAATATACTACTCTTTAGTAGTAATTGTTAATTAAAATAATTTGTTAAAAGTTCTTTCTTATTTCAAATTTAGTTGTTTTTATTTTCTCACATTATTTTGCCATTTATTTCATAATACCTTTTATTCATCATTTTTGATTCATTAGTCAAAACTGTAAATTTTTTTTTATTATTGCTTCAGTTATCTATTTGAAAATGATAAATCATCGTGTAATGATTTACAGTATTTTTAATTTTAACTTCATTACATGTGTTTAGTCTAAATTTAATTTAATTTTATTATTACATATTTTTACAAATGCCTGTTAGTTGGGTGTGTTTAAAAAAACTTTTGATGAAGTATGGAATTTCAGTAATAAAAGTTGATAGACACTTTGATACATCAATTTGTTCATTATTGCATAAAATACTTTATAATTATTTAATATTAAATAATAATAAAAAGTACCTGAGATAGGTCAACTGGTTGTGATTGACTCCGCCTTGGCACAAACACACCTTGTTGCTGTAAAGGCGATGGCACTGGTAATCTTGACATCTCCAATCCCCTAAAAAAGTAATACTTTCAATTTAAAAAAAAATATCATAATGTATTTAAAAATTTTTATTTACTTATTTTATCTGATTTAAAAAATCGATTACCTTTTTATGATAAAATTTATACTAAATTCTTAGGAAAAGTGTAACACTTTAATGTAAATTAAAAAGATAGTAATTTGTCATTAGTAATAAATCAGATCTCCATTTTTTTAAAAGTTCAACAGTATATATAGCATATAGTATGTATAGCAACAGAAAAAAAATTACAAACCTTGATTGGGATTGAAGAGTTGTGTCTGTGTTTTGGGGCACACTTGAGCTTCTTCTTACGGGCGAAGGCCTCGATCGTGAATCACCCCAACTACCCTGAAAATTGTAGAAGATTAATTTCAAGTTGTTTGAATGTTGTTGGACTACGAAAACCGGCAACATATCATATCACATATTAATTAATTGATGTAACATACATATCATTGATTATTATGAGTGTGTTCATTTTTTTTAGAAATACATTGTAAATTTAACAAAGAAAGATTCTCTTCTAAATAACAATATTACCAGATTCTTGACTTTTATAAAATTTTAAAATAATTAAACTTTTATAAAATTTTAAAATAAATATACTACTGTGATCTAAGTAATAGTGAAATCATTAACTGAAGTTTTTTTATAATTTATAACTTCATATAACACATTAATTGTCAATTTTTCTTACCTCTCTCGTTTCTGGAAGAGAATCCGAACTTCTTGCACCGGTTTGATATTGCTGCTGCTTCAGGATATGAAGTATAGCTTTTATATCATTCGTTACCGTATGCTCTAGTGTATCTAACTGCCTAAAAGTTGAAAATTTACTTAGAATTTTTTTTGGAAAATATATCATTTTAAAATTATTTATTGTTTTATTAACCTGCTTAGCCTATCTATCCTAGAATGAATATCACTATCAACACGAGCCTTCACGCCGCCACAATGACTGCACTTCGCTTCACCATGGCTTGGGTACGCTATCACAGACGATGCCCCTATAAACAAAAGTTGTCAATAAAGTATATGAAATTCAATGAGCAAGTAAATAAATGTTTTAAAATGATATTAGAAAGGATTCTTATCTACGACATACCTATTTAAAAAAAAATCTTTGATTCAGATATAAAAATCACGAGCCTTAAAACCACACTGCCTCAATTGTTTGTGTTGATTTCTGTGTTTAATTGCGTAAAAAACTTCTTTAGGCCCGTTTTGCACTTTTTTGTTCGAGAGTGATTTAGATTGATCCATCAGATTTCCAAAGTTTTAACGCTCAGGTAAAGTCGACTAATTGAAATGTTTTTTAATATGGAATAAAATATCTCAGAAACTAAAAATCAGGCCTGCATACTGTAAGCGAGGGAATTGTTCAACATTTCATCTTCTCTTTAATAGGCTATAATTTAAAATTCTATCTTACCGCCATGTTAGGGAGGAAAAAAGGATAAAAATAGTAACGAAAATGAAATGATAACGATTTTAGTTGAACATATATTGTTACATCTCCCTTATATTTTAGAAATAATAATAATAATATAACCTCAGAAGATCACTTTATACCGTTGGGATACTTCCTAAATAAATAAGAGGTTATTAAATAAAAAACAAAATTATAAGAGTATTAATATATTTATTTATCTCAGGTGTGGGTTACTAACAATCAGATCAAAACAATCAGACAAACTAAAATTAACTATACTAAACACTGTTTGATTTTAAAATAAAGTCAAATATGAATTAGCAACCTAACCATTTATATACAAAGTTTCTTCCTTTGCAGCACTGAATTCATTTGTTTTCAAACACTTTCCAAAGTTCTGCCAAACACAACTTCCAAATTTGTGATACTTTCTTCTAATCCTCAAACTCACTGAGAAATGCTCTCTCTTGTGATTCCAAACAACTAGTCTCTCTGCCAAACAACTTCCAAGATGGTAATACTATTCCTGGGTTTTACCCACTGGAGCCAGGATCACTTCTCCTATCCTCTCTTCACCACGGGCGGATCTACGGAGGGGGAGGGGCTTTCGGGCTGAAGTCCCTCCCTCCCCCAAATGGTAAAATATAACGATGTTTTATCAAAAAAAATATTAAAAAAGTATCTCTTAAAGTATTATTTTTGGTGTAATTACATTTAAAAGGGCTTCAGGGATCACTTAAACACCATTTCATATAGGTAGTTAGTTTCTTTCTTTTTTTCCAAACTAATTATCGTTATTTTTATGAAAAAAAACAACTTCCGTGCTTAAGCCCCCCCCCAAAATAAATCCTGGATCCGCTAGTGCTCTTCACTACAGTCACACAACTGCTTGCCAAAACAAAAACCTTTGTCCCTCTCATCTTTGGGATTTTCCTTCTTGGGAAACTACAGAGCAGCCATTTTCTTTTCCCTGCACTAGTAGAACTAGATTTGCTTGCCTTTTAATTGTTAAACATTAATTTATTAAACCCTTTTTACTCACTTCCAATAAAGGTGTACATTACAATATATTGAAATATTTCAGATACTGAAAATCGTATCTGCATACTGTAAGCAAGGGAAATGTTCAGGATTTCATCTTCTTTATAATAAACTATTATTTATAATAATATCAGGAGAAGTATCTGAAGCCTTTAAAGTTCGAACGGGCTTACGGCAGGGAGATGGAATATCATCGATGTTGTTCAACTTAGCGCTGGGGAAGGCAATAAGATTAACATCACAGGAAAATGAAGGAATCCACGTCGGAATGAATTATAAAATCCTTGGATACGCAGATGATATAGCTGTTGGAAGTAATCAAGAGGACATTGAGAAACTCGCTACGACTCTGAATTCGAATTCCCTACTTACTTCCGTACGCAAATCTTCATCCTTAAACTCATTTAAACACCATTTATTTTTCCATCTCCTCAGCAATTCGTCTTCCGAATATATGTAAGAATAATATTTTTATGTTTTTTGAGCTGTCACCTTATTTTACTGTTATCTTACAGATACCTATATATAACCCATTGTTTATATGTAAATCCATTCTTCTAAAGTCTAGCTATAATTCAAAAGTTAACTTGTGCCTGTCTTTATTTTAATTCCAAGACTCAATAGCAATGTAATTAAATTAACAGCAAGAAGATGATTAACTTGTACGCCAGACAAAGTCACTAAAAATTGTTCATTATAATTATTCTTAGGGGCCTGCAAGCTCCAGAATAAAATTTACTTTTCTTCTTCTTTAAAATTATATATTATTATATTATATATTATATAATATATATATTATATATATTATATAATATATAATTATATATTATATAATTATATATTAATTAATATTTATATATTATATAATTATATATTATATAAAATTATATATTATATATTATTATAATGATATATTATATATATATATCATCGTACACTCAACAGTGGCCCTAGGCTAAAAATTATTTAAATAACAAAAAATACAACAAGAAAATGCAGTGTCTTATATCAATCATTGTATTCAATGGGAAACTGCGAACAAATAACAAATCCTTCTCCTATATTTAAGAGAAGAAGCATTGAGGACGGGAATTCCAACATGAAAACAAATGAAATAACTGAATCCTTTAAAAATAAAAAATTAATTAATGTTTATTTAAACAAATTTAATATTTTCAAGTGAATATATAAAGTTTTAATATTTTATTCAAAGCAGTTTTCCTGAACATTCTATAATTCAAACACCTCGATGATATAATTAGCTCAGATTACTGGGATAACACTGAATTTCAGTTCACTTTCTCACGATTGAAGAATACTGAACTAAAGTAACTTGGTATAGATTTATCGTATATAACGGACTAGAACTTCTAATAAAAAATTGATTTTTCATTTATACTTTTCTGCCTGAATATATGGCCATAGAAATAAATATTTTATTCAGTGCTCTAGAAGAGATGTAAATACTTACCCTGCTGATGGGGTCTTAAAAAAGAGTTGGAATGTAAGGGACTGATAGAGCCGGGGGTGGTGTAGTGCGAAGTTCCGCTGAGGTGACCCTCCTCGGGCAAATCTCCACCCAACGGCAGCCCCTCTGAAACTGAATACAAATAAATAATAATTTAATATTCTATAAATATGTTCCTTAATAAAAATTGTAAATATGAAATTATATTTATATTTCAAAGGTCTCCCCTAGTAATAATCATGAAGAGGGAGAGGAATAATTATTGGGTCATCTATTTTCTGTCAAGCACATATTAGATATTTTCAAATATACTGTACAAATATTTGCTGCTTCATGTTGAGAGTGTCTTGTAAACTGTATCACTGTGATTTACGTAAAGTGAACAATAGATCAGATATTCACCTTATGAACCATTCTAGGGGCAGGAAGTGAATGCCAGATGCATATGTACCATCTATTTGTTGATTCTAAGTTCACATATGAAAGCATTGAATGTGAGCTTCTGCATCATGTGATAAAGGACCTAGACCTTTGTATACATGTTAATTTAATACAAGTTCTTCTGATTAAATTTAATGATCAGCAATATTGAGTGTTGTAACCAAGATTAAGACAGCATTGAAAAAAAAACAAAAAAAAACTCTTCTCTCTTTTGTTTCCTGTGCCAGATTACTAATTCATATTTTAGCATGTGCATGTGCTCTTACATCTAATATCTCTTGTATCTTGACTATCTTTTTTCTTGATGTTTATATGTGGCATGCCATACTATTGTATATAGAATAAGTATCTTTTTTTGTTATTTTTATTATCTTTATTATCTTAAATATCTTCCTATTTATCTTTAATTGTATATAGTAATTATGTTTAAATTCTCTCTTTTTCCTTGTATTTAATTTCTTTTATTGTATAGTATTAATTCTGTAAATATTTCTTTCTTTAAATAGTTCTGTTAACCTTTTTTTGCTGCTTTATAAATATATCCAACCTAACACCTTCTCACCTGAGCTAGCATGGTAGGATAAATGATTAATCATGGCCAAATAATGGGTAAGTAATTTATATTCTCTATAATTATCTCTTTAGAGATGAAAGGCTAGTATAGCCAGTTGCCCAACAAATAAAAATTCCTATGGAAAATTATATTTATTAAAAATTATTTTATTATCTTTTTATTTATCCTTTTATTTGGTATGTGTTCTATAGATTCTATTTGAAGAACGTATTCTAATGATACCGATATTGTTGGGAGAACAAAAGATACAGTATAAGAAGCCCTTCTTATCCTTGAGGATATTGCCAGAAAACTAGTTTAATACTTCCTGTTAATACCTGTAAAAGCAATCATATGATTGCTGATCATATATCTTAATCATTATAAGATGTTAATCTGTTTGTGTATCTGGGGTCACAGATTGATAAAAGTGATATTTCCAACAAGATAAGAAGGAGAATAAAATATGCCTATAGCGCTGTTTCAGATTATGTAAACATAAAAAGTAGCTCAATATCGAGAACTACCAATATAATATTGCATAAAATACAGATCATAACAGTGTTTGTGGATCAGAAATCAGGCATTTTCAAAGTGATGAAAGGGATCTCCTAAAATTTGCGAGAAAAGTACCTAAACACATTCATGTCCAAGTGAAACATGATTCAACATGCAGAAGGTGCCCACAGAGGGAAATGTACTCTTTTATTAGTCAGGTGTTGTGAAAATTATTAAGCATAGTAGACTATCTCATGTAACCAGGAAGGAACCTTATGAAATTAAAAAAAAAAAAACCCTTGATGAGGACATGTATGGAACTCAAAAGAGACGCTGCCTGAACTTTTGATGGGTCGATGTTGTTGAAGCAAATTTAAGGATCCTCTTTGGGGTTTTGGGGAATTGGATGACATCTGCACATTGACAATTAGATTTAGAAAACAAATCCTGAAAGGAAGCCAGTATCCATTCATTAGTTGTTACCCTGACTGAGTAGACCAGTCAGATGATTAATTGTATATCTAGTAAATCATATTAAATTTATGATAATTCCAAAATTGTAAAATTACTAAAAAAATTATATAAAATTTTCTCTTTCTCAAAAAACATTGACATAAATAAAAGCATAATAGCAACACATCTAAATTAACACAGAGACATATTACTGACATCATTTCACAGATGGACATCTGTTATTTTCAGAAGGTGGAGAAAAAGTCAATTTTTGTTTTATCGGTTCAACTCCGATGACTTTATTTAAGAATGTTCAAGTTGAATTATGAAAAACAATCATTAGAGTTGGTCTTAATTGAAGCTATGTTATAAAAATTGGCTCTTTCTCATATTTTTAGAAATGACTGATGTCCGTTCTTTGACATGATACTACTCATTTATTTTCAAATAACATGCAAATATTTTTTTCAGGCAGAAAAATATAAAGAAAAGTTGCTCCATTTGGGTCGGTTCCTATCTGGATAGCTCATCTTGGGGAAGACTTAAAATAAGGATAGGATTCTGTTATTGTAAAGCTTAAACCACTGAAAGACATATCCTGAGACTTTATAATTTGTTTTGTTTTGGAAAATATTTCTGTCTGATTTCTGAGTTGTTTTGAGAATTCCCAAAATAATATTATCATAATTGTTAAGTAGATTTTCTAATATTCATCTACACTATTTAATAAAAGGAAAACTCTTGATCTTTAACTGCTGATGACGCAATTTACAGAACCAATTTACTGGACTTTTTATTGCAAAATTTTCTGTGTTGTGGAATGAGAAGAGTTGCAGGGATTTTAAGCTGCAGGAATTCTCGATCTGATTATTCAAAAGAGTGTTGAAAATGATAAATAATACTAATGAGCATACTCAATAATGTTTAAACCTAATTTTAAATTGTTGTTTGAATGGCATATAGCTGTTAAGGGCTCAAGATTTCTAGATTGGACAAATTATTACTAAATATCATCTTTTAGACAATATTTTTCCTTGCAGATTGACATAAATCACTAGATTAAGCTAAAATTATATTAAAAGTAGGAATTGATCCAATGGCAACTTTTCCATAAATATTTTCTGTTCCATAAAATTACAGTTGTACGTACTTGGTGCCTGATGGTCTAGAAGTGGCTGGGTCTCACGAGACGAGTCTGACGTGGCCGAAGACATCACCCTAGCGTCTCCCCTCCTCATGTTCCCAGAACTGCTCGAGTGTTTCAATCGCACATCGGCAGTTCGCCCTACATCCAATCAGCAGAAAGCACATAGCTACAGCCATCGAGTACTCTCAACACATTGAAAGCAAATCAATAGTAAAACATTGAACTAATTACTGTCTATCTTGAAAATCTTTTTTATATGTAAAGAGTAATGGCTGAAATCATGTTGATAACCTCTTGACAGAAAATTTCTTTTGTAACTTATATTGACTTATTATATTAAATATAATTTTACATTTTTAATTACTACTCTCATATTAATACTCAAATATTAAATTGTAATTGCTATAAAAATTATTAACATACCAAAAATGTTACATATGAAAAAAAAAAATAGTAAGGTGTAAAAATGGACATCTAATTTATCATAGATATTCAAAATTGTATTCAAATTACAAATAAAAAAAACTTAAAAACATTCTAACTTTTTCTATTAAAAAATTATATCTCAAAAGCATTATAAAACATTTTCTATCTACGTAATTGAATAATATTATATAGCGTTCTTAAATTTTAAATTATTTTTGTTATATCTAACTACAAAAATGTTAAAAATTAAACAAATAATAGTTTCAATAAATGAGAGTATAGATTAGTGTTAATTAAAAATACTAAAAAATATTTATATGTAAGTATTTTCTGTAATAGTGATAACTAAAATTATTTCGAAAACTAACAAAATTTCAAGTACAACAGTTTATTAGACACTTAAGCACTAAAATTACAAATGGCAGCAATAAATTTACTCTACAAATTAAGCATACTTTTGATGCTAATCTCTGGATTACTAAAACTACTCAAAAATAACTACTACTGAGATATATTAAGATAGTAATGTAAAAAATCATGCAAACTCCATATCTCCACGCTTGAACAGGTTAGTTTGTATTAATTAAATTAAATAAAAATTAAAACGAACATACCGTTAGAAGTTTCCTCTTTGAGTGGCTGTTTACCGCTGAGGCCATGCAATCGGAGATCTGTGAGGCTGCGCTTCAGTTGAGTGAGCATGCCTGACACACACACACACTCACACAACTACACTACAACATGCTTACTGGGTATTTTTTAAATAGTGTCTTAACAGATAATATACTTTCTATGTATGAATTAAACAAATTCAAAAAAATGAAATAAACAATATTATTAAAAATTAATAAAATAAAATTTAGATTTGAAAATATTAGCATCTTAAAGGTACAAAAAGAAAGCTTGATAAAAAGATGTTTAATTTTGTTCAATTACTTTCATTATGTCCCATTCAATACAAGTAAACCGAGAATAGTTTAATCTCAAAGATTAATCTTTGCATATTTATGAAAGTTTTCTTCTAAATTCTAGTCATTTTTACCACAAATATAACTAAAATATCAATAATGAATAACGAATAAATTTTTTTGACTGATTAAAAAACTTTCTTCCAATTCAGTTTTACTACATTGATTATGACAAGAACTAAAAATTAGTCAGTGTTGAATATTTTATGACTAAAAATATAGTCATAAATCAGATGATTTCTGCCCATCTTTGTATTAAATATACATGCTTGATGGTGTCAATATATTTTAAAATATCAAATTGTAATTGATAAAATTATAATTGGAACTACATGATGGTTAATGCAATCATGATGTTTTAAAATAAAATTAATAATTTTAAAATGATTTTTTTTTAGATAATTTCTTTTGAAAATTAATTTTTATTAGTAGTCGTCCTTTCTACTTAATGTAAATTTGATTAGGTTAACAAATAATTTAGAATCCCATCTAACATTTTTAAAAATACCTTTAAATTTAAAATAAATGTTTTAATGCATTGTTGAGGCTGAGAAAACTAACAAGATGGTATTTTAAAATGATAGCCCATTCAAATTAATAAATATGTTGAAATCCATCCATTTTATGCATATTAGTTTTTGTTTTAATCAAATTATCAAATAGAAATTTAACGTGCATTATTAATAAAAAAAAAAATTGAAAGTTTATAATTTTTTAGGTTGACAATAGAGAAATTGTTTATTCGTAATTAATAAACAAATCTGAGCTAACGGTAATAAATGCAATCAATATACAAGAAAGATATTTGATATTGGTTTTGTTCTTTTCTCAACCTGTTTCAAACTGAAATATGTAATATAAATATTTTAAAATATGCAATATGATAAGAACAAATTTAAATTGTTTAATAATCATTCATAGCAACATTTAAATGACTTATAAAAGCAGGAATGTGCATTTTTCTCCATTTTATCCAGATATGCAATGATATGAAAATTATTTTTTATTTAATATAGTAAAAAACTCACAGAGGCAGAAACTCATTTTTAGGCTATAATCAAAAAAACTCCAATCACACAGCCTTCCATATGTCTCCAAAATGAAGGCAAAGAATAAAAAAAAGTCAGTGTTTTATCAATTTAGGTATCATCGTTTTGTGCTACAGTCTATAGAAAAACATGTTTTTCACATATTGTGCATGAGCTATAGCACCCAATTTGTGTCACAGGCATCAGTAGTCAAAACCTTCAAAATCAAAAAATAAGCAAAAAACTCGGTTCACTAGTTCCCGAGAAAATCTTGGCACAGACAGACCAATGGCTATAAATGGGTTTTTGAATTCAGGAGGCTCTGAAACGCATATCAGAAAATCGATCCAATAGCAATTTTTTCCTTATCTAGTATAGGAGGTAGGAAAGTAATAAATTAAAACATGTGCAGAAACTAGAAGAAGCTGTATCATCGCTAATACTTGTTCGATTCCGATTTTTTTTTTTGTATTGTTGGTAATTTAAGTATCTTTCAAAAGTTATATTATAAATTTTACCATATACTTAGGGAGTTCGGCCCCAAAACATTTTTCTTTTCTTTGTAAATTTTTTTCTGAATTTTCTCAGGAATTTAGTCCATGTAGGAAAATTGAAAGGACAATTATTAGACCATTATAGGAAAGTTTTATCAAAATCATTAGAGCCATTTTCGCGCTACAGTTCATAGAAAAACATGTTTTTCACATACTGTGCAGCAGCTATTGCGCATAGAGCACCCAATTTGTGTCATAAGGCATCAGTAGTCAAAACCTTACAAAATAAAAAAAAAGAAGCAACAAAATCGCTCACTAGTTCCCGAGAAAATCTTGGGACAGACAGATCAATGGCTAAAATCTGTTTTTCAAACTCAGGGAGCTCTGAAAAGTATAGATCTGTTGAAAACTGCATATCGGAAATTTGACCAAATGGCAAAACTTTCCTTACCTAGTATAGGTAGGAAAGTAAAATACATTATTTCTCATAAAAATATAATTAAATTGTAAAATTTTAATCTGCTAATTTTTTTTTATCATGTTCTATTTACAGTTTCTCTAAAATGGACATCCCTTTGATTCCCTGTAGATGTCTGCTACTGAGAAGTTTTATTTTATGACTTTTTATTTTTAACAGAGGCTTTTGCACACTCCTGCTATAAAGTCTTTTAAACTAGATTCAATCCTTTAAAACTAAAACTATTTTCAAATCTAATATACCATATATAAATAAAACACTAAAATACATCTAATTGAAAATTAGATTTTAATGAAAACAAATTGCATGATGATATATTAATAGCAGTATTTAACTAATATTGCATAAATAACTTAATTTTAGTGCATATGCTAAATGTATTGATTGATGTAATGAGGAATGCATAAGAAATTTAAACCATAGATAGTTAAAAATAAGATAATAAGTAATAAAAATGTATTGTCATGTGTGGTTTTAAAGAAACTATGTAAATTGGGGTGTCATGCTCAATGGCCTGATGAACCATTGCCAACATGCAAAATGAAAGTTTAAAATAACAATTTTTGCTTTAAGAATGCTTTCATTCATAATTGGTTAAACTAACTATTTAACTAACACTAAGTTCAAAAACTAACTTACAAATTGCCGTTGTTATAACTTATAAATTCTGTATTTTTTTTCATTGGCTTGATTATTCTATAGACGGGCATTCATATTCTGTTAAATAAAGCTTTGTATAAGTTTTATCTCATGTTGTTTTCCATTAAGTGAATTAAATCTTACTTAAAAAGTTCATAATATTTAACATTCAGAAGCTTGAGTATAGCTTATGCTGGAAGCTTTGTTATAACTAAACTAAATTTGAGTTGAGGTATATAATAGATTATATAATCATGTAACTAGTAGGCCAAATTATATTGATTTAAATAAAAATAATAAGTGATGTAATACTGTAAATCAATCGATTGACTTTCAGATTGAATCGATTGAAAGTGCCAAAGCTGCTTTGATATTTTAAATAATAAGAAAACTAACCTAAACCTATTTAGTAGAAAATTTCTAGATCTTAGTTGCATAACTAGATTGAGTAATTGAATAACTACTTCCAATTATGAATGATAAAGTATTAATAAAAATGTTAATATTTATGTAGGGGTATATTCATACTAGACATGCCCATATCACAATACATTTAATGTAAATATTTTGGAGTTTTAGTCCCTTTATTATACATTCAATACTTGAAACTAAAAGAGGATTTAAATTTCCCATGCAGGAATATAATGGAAACACTTTACTAAAATCTGTGTCAATAAATGTTTATTTTTTGTATACCAGTTATCGAATTCATCCCTTGAGATCGTTCATTGCTGTCTTTGAATTGAAGGTTCATAGGAGTGACATCCTGACCGGCTTTGTCCGTTGAGAATTCCAAAATTCCATGACCAGGATACCTTTCCCTTGGAAAGTTAAAAGGAGAGATCGTGAAAATTACAGATTTTTAAACCTTGATATTTTTTTAATTAGAAAAAAATAATAATTGTGATACTTACATCCCCTCATCATCAAAAGAAGTAGCTCTTTCCATGCTCAATCTCATAGGAGGACGATAATAATTTCTTCGAAAATCCATATCAAAGTTACCCCCTCCACCCACTTCACCCGTTCCCAAATCCTGAGAATTTGTTCTCGAAGTGATTTTTCTAGTTTGACGACTTGCCCATGGGTCGACTCCGGCTTGCTCTTCCTAAAAAAAAATTCACAAAACTCAAAATCAATTTTTACTACATATACAAAGTTGTTCAATCTACTTACATCACGAAGATAAAATGTTATTTCTAAATTAGTTGTAAAAGACTGATAAAACTCAGGGTATAGTTCTAATACATCCAACAAATCATCACGATGAATTTTATGAAGGTCGCAATAGGTAAGAGCACGCACATTACACTTAGATTTACCTATTGTCGTATGAGCACATGGATTTTCTCCAAAAATATCATCCTTACCTAAAAGTAAAAAATTAACATGGCATTAGATAAAAATAAAAATAAAAATCGCATATTTAATACAGTATGCTAATAATAATTTGATTTTAATAATAAAGAAATTCATAACTATATAATTAAGTGCCATTTCCAAAATGTATGTATGAACATAATTTATTAATTAGATTTTTTTGTATAAATCAACTTATTAGTTTGTGGCTACTTTGAACTTTCATTCTAATAATATATTGTGAAACAGTAGACCTTCACTATGAGGGTGGTAAAAAAAACAAAAAACCACTTAACTTACAGTGGTAATAATGTTATATATCAGAGACAAAAAAAGATAAATCATTGGAAGTACCATGGACGCATTGAAAAAAAAAAAGTTAATAGACAATTTAAAATGGCAATCGGCTATATTTGTAAGAATAAATGTAAATGTAAGAAAAAAAATGTTACTATCATTTTTAAAAATTGTTTAAATCAATATTCAAGAAAGCCTTGTTTTGAGAAGGAATAATAACACTTTTTGGAAGAAATTCATCTTCAATGTTCCGAGTCTTTTTTCCTAGAAGAGACTTATGATAATAGTTTAAACAAAAATCTTCAAATTAAAAAAAAAAAAGTTGAAGAAGACTAAAGATGAGAAAGGAGTATGAAAACTGAAGATAGGGTAAAAAAAGTACAATTAAATCGCCATTGCACTTAATTTCTTGAATAGTTTTTGTTCTACAGTCTGAAGAAACAAATTAATAATTATACATTAATCTTTTTTAAAGACTAATCAGAGATTAGGATCACGGCTACACTTGTTTTATATCCAAACCCATTTTATAATGATCTGATGTATAAAAAAGATCCATTGTAATTACATACTTATGAAATCAATCAAAAACTTGTGCATGTGAATCCTATATTTATTCAATTATGTATTTCTAAACCAAAATTATAAGTTAGTCTATGTTAATTATTTGCAATTAATCAATATTACAAAATTAAATTTTCCTACAAGTATTTTATCACAGTTAGAAAAGAGAGAATTGATCTTTATAGTAAGAAATAAATAAAATTCTGACTAAATAAACAATTGCAAAAATTCTACCTTCTTTCCAAATTTGAGCTAAATTTTAGTTAGTTGAACTATTTGAAATAATTGTTACTGTTCTCATAAAAAATTATTAACAAAAATCACTTATATTAAAGTTTAATTATGAACAAAATTTAATAACAAATTTATTACTTTCTTTTTAATATTGAAAAGTTAATATAATAATAGTTTAAACTGACTCAGTATCGCCATGACTAAATCATCTTTGAGAATCTCTATCGACCCTCTTGATATGAAGTAAAGCGAAGTCAATACATCCCCTTTATGCACTAAAGTATCTCCAGGTGGAGCATGAGTTGTTTTAAACTTCAGCGATAAGGCCCTGAAACAAAAAATAATTAGTTTAAAATATTAATAGTTGTATGATAAAAAGGAAAATTAGATAGAAATAACAATAGAGAAACATGAATTATTTTAATTTTAATGTGAACAATAGGTATATAATAGTATCTATATAAAACATCCTGTACATACATGCAATAGTATACACAGATATTTCAAACAGCTTCTTCTCACAGGTTGATATATATACATGCATGCAAATATGGCTATTACAATAATCTAGCAGCAAAAGAATTCAGACTCCAATTTATATAAAGTTCAAAATATTATTATTTATTGATTGATAATATTTTCTATATAAATAAAAATTTTGATTAATAAATTTGTGTTAGCAATTATCAAGACAGCTCATACCAGAAATGTACTTTGAGAGGTTGACATCCTTAATAACCAATATGTTTCCCATATTTCTTAAGGGAAAAAGTGGAATAAAAAAAATAATACAAATTTTTATTCGTTTTTAAAATTCTATGTATCTAGAAACCTAAAACCTCAAATTTTGAGAGGGGGTTAAGTTTTTGAATTTTTTGTTCGATTACAATGGTTTATTATTGAAAAATAAAATAAAATAAATAAAAAGGCTTAGCGAACCCGAAGGTTCGATGCCGACACCACCAATCGCTTATTACACACCTCCCTCCACCGTTCGCCGTCCAAACCCAGTCCCTTCAGATCTGCTTTAATGCAATTGAAAATAATAAAGTTTCATCGAAGTCAGAACTCTATTATTGAAGATATAACGATTTTTAAATAATAATATCTTCAATAATATAGTTCTGACTTCGATGAAACTTTCTTCATTTTTTAAGAAATTTAAATACCTTTGAAACATCTTATCACAATATCGACAAAAAAGTGTATACTTTTGCTCGTAACTTTTTTTCCAGCTTCTTTTCGTTGAAGTATGTTATATAGATAAATTTAAAGGGCATCAAGAAGCGAACAGTCTATAGCAATGCAGGTTTTTCGGTCGCCATTTTGAATTAAAAGGCGGATAGTAATGTAGGTCATCCTCAGATGACCTCTGATTATAAATCCAAATTTGAAAAAATCGGTCCAGTAGTTTCGGAGAAAATGCGCGGACGATGGATGGACAAAAAAATGTTTATTCGATTTTCGAATTCTATGTATCCTGAAACGTAAAACCTCAAATTTTGAGAGGGGATTAAGTTTTTGAATTTTTTATTTGATCACAATGGTCCATTATTAAAAATAATAAACTAAAAATACATATATAGTGTTTTGTATTTTTCCCATTTTGGCAGAGGTTGATTTTGGAGGCCATGACTCACTTGTGGGTGGTAGTGCCTAGTAAGTAAGTAAGTATTTTTTCCCCAATGATTACCAATATCCTTGAGATGTCCCTACCTCTCATCATGGAGTAAAAGTTGTAAAAATTTAACTGTTGATTAATTAATTCTACTTTCTATAAGCGCTGAAGAAATAATAAAAATCCATGCGATTGCGCTGGTTCTTATGTGAACTTATGTAATTTATGGTTCTTATGTAATTTATGGCCAGATGTGGTTTTTATTTTTTGTTCATAACTGTTATTCATAAGGGACCTCGTCCCAGAATAAAGATTACTTTGAAAAAAAAATAACTTTTTTCTTCTCCTATGGCTCTACAGCTCATGAGGAGTAAAAGTTTTCCTCAGTCGGAGCCGTTAGTTTTCTCTGTTTTGTGCAGCTGCCTTTTAATTTCTTATTTCCAACATCTTCTGAGTATTTACTGCTGCACAATCTACTCAATGCAGGTGAGGTCTTTCTACTCTTCTGTGTCAGAATATTTTCTTCTAGAAGTATGTTGGGGGCTTTAATGTCATCTATACGTACAACATGTCCGCCTATCTTAAATGTCCCATCTTTACTAAATAGACAATATCAGGATCATTGTAGAGATTCATTAGGTCAGCATTTTTCTTGATTGATGTATAAAGGCTCCACAATTCTTCGCGAACTTTTCCTTTCGAATCTCAATATGATATGATGATTCTAGAACTTTTGTCATCGTCCAACACTCTGATGATTAGGGTCTTATTGATATCTTGGTTGCCCTAGAGAGAGATTTGCTTTTTAGATGCCTGTGAAGCCCATAATAGCATCTATTGAATGCCATAATCCACCATTGAATCTCTGGTTGAATATTATTGGTTAAGTTCAATAGTGTTCCAAAGTAAATAAATTCCTCGAGACGTTCAAAGTTGAATTTTCCAATTTTTACTCTCTCTCCTAGATATTCTCCTATTTTAGGATTGCAGACTTTATACTTTGTTTCAGAATCATACACCTGTAGTCCAACTTTAGCAGCTATTTTTTTGTAGATTTCAGAAGGCACTTTTGATTGTCTCATCATATCTGAATTTCGCAAAAAGATTATTTTATTTCATAGAAGTGATTTGTTGTTTTAGTATACAATACAATTACACTATCCTTAGCGATAATATAACCAATAACTTTCATAACTTAGAGTCTAATTAATATTAAGACTTTTGTTCATCTAATGAATTTTATAATACAAAAATATTTCAAGAATGCTTAAGCTGAGGATACAATAATATTTTAATCTAATCTATTATAAGATTATGATGCTCTCTGATACTTATGAGTTTAATTTTTTTTTCTAGTTATGGAGTCCTTATTTCTTTTGCTGTTGTTACATATACAGTTAACTCTCAACAATTCAAATTAATTGATGATTTACAAAGAATAATATGGAAGGAGGAATTTGGGATTCACCAAAAATTATTAATAATATTATCTCTATCAGTCAAAATCATAGGTTTCTTCGATATTAAAATATTTCAGCAGTGATGCAGCAAAAGCCTGTCAGAACAATTTTACTGGAAAATATAGTTTTTAATTTTTCTGTGAGAAATTAAAACCAAAAGTGTTAATGAAAATACACTTCATTTTTTGTCTTAAGCATGCAATGAAAACTGAAAAGAGATTTCTAGTTCATTAAATAAAAAGCATACAGTTATTTCATTTACTGAGTGAAGCTTAAAGCACTTACATGCTTTTCCAACTATCTAAAGTATATATCGTGGAGCAGTAGTGAATCTTCGATTTAATTTTAAGGGGATTGGTTTTTTATTATGTTTTTTTTACAATAGTAATTACTCCAGCAAAAAAAGAGAAAAGCTATATAAAATATTGTTTCAGTTGTTCCCTTCCCTGCGTAGATCCGCCAGTTTTATGGAGTGATATTAATTTTGTTTTAGAATGTAGATATGAGAAGTGCTAACTATAGCCTGTAATTACCTTTTTCATTTTTCTCTCCATATTATTACCTGAATTGGCGAAAGCTTTATTTTAGAGTATTCCAATAATGTCCAATTGTTATAACTGAAAGTGAATTATCATTTTTTTAATGAATTTTTGAGAGTTGACTGTATGTATATATCTTATTGATTCAATTTATTTTAAAAAAATAATTTTTCTAAACTTTTTCCTATAATGTTAGTTTGAAATTTTATTTGTTTGGGAATTCTGACCTTAAACATCCTGGAGAGGCCCCATCGAATGCAGTACAGGACGTGAGTAAATTTCTGTTGAGGTGCAGGCAAATGTCTGCCTGAAGGCACTCCGGAAATCCTTTCAGCACGCTGTTCATATCTATTCCATTAGTGTAAGTCCATGCATGCTACACACAATACACAAAGTCACCTATACTTAATTATACTACATACAACATAGCTAACTATCTTACACCTGAACGACTACTAACCTATAAGGTAGGTAAAAATATAATATCTATGATTTATGTCATATCTATGATGCTAAATCTAAACAAAATATACAAATTAAGCTGCTTAAAACGTTTCTTAAAGAAAGTATGAATCAAGAAAAAAACAAAACATATAACTGACCAGATTATAAAAATAAAATTGGTTACAAATATTGGTTAAAAATATTTTATTTTATATATTTTTCACATTAACCCTCTATCTGAGATACCAATCTTTCTTTCGTTGGAAACTATCAAAAAACTTGATAAGTTGATAACTAACAAAGACTTCCTAGTGAAGGTGTTTGTATTCATTATTAAATTGATTTTAGTGTTTAGTATTTGCGATTCTGTCTTCCGTACAATTCATCTCAATATCTGTTAGTCTCATTTCTTTTTTAGCCAGAATATTTGTGTAGAACAATGCTCCATAAAGGAGGGCTAGAGTATGTTCTTATACATAATGTTTTTATGCGATATGGGGTTTTAAATTATTTATAATGTTAAAAACAAAAAAAATATTCAATTAACTCGCAAAAATATTTTATGTAGTATAAATTGATTTTCCAGTTTGAAGCATTATTTGAAAAAGTGATGAGAATGATGAATATTCTTTTCAAGTAAAAACAAGATGATTTGGAAAAAAAAATGGATGCTTACCAAGTGTACTTGGAGTATGTAAAAAATAGGAAATAAAAAAATTTTATGAAATATTTGATAGAAATAAGGATTTCCTAATTTGTTGCTGTTACATTTTGTCTTATATTTAAGCAGCCTTTTGAATTGAAACAACTAATTGTTTCTAATTGACTTAGACTAATAAAACTAATAACACCAAATCTCATCCTAAATCCACACAACAAATATTTACCAATGAAACAATTAATTTACTTCAGTCTTTCTAATAAAAACTATTAAATAACGAATTGTTTTTCTAATCATCTTTAATAATTCAAATTTTACCTGAAAGTATTCCTCCAGTCTTTGGCGAAGCGGATTAGGTATTTGATGAAACCTAATGAACTCACGTACCCTTAACATTTGTGTATGATACCTCGCTGTTCCTGAGTACAATCTTTGAATAATTGCTGATACATTTCCAAATATACTAGCATACATAAGTGCTGAAATAAGATTGAAAAATAAATAATAGTTTATCCATGATTTCATTAAGGATAATATATATGAATGTTCCATGATCTTAAACATAATATAGTTATTTATATATTAAATATTTTTTAAATAAAAATAAATATGAAACATCATAAGTTTCAAGAACAGCAAAATTTTATCGTTTTCTTTGAGTAATTTACATAATTCCAAGTAATATCAAGTATATTATAAAAAGTAAAAAAATTTGTATTAACATTAATTTCAATTTATAACAACTTATCAAATTTCAATCAATTTAATATTTGTGTTCATATAATATTAAAATTATATCTTTGTTTATTTTCTAATCTCTTTTGCATATTAATAAAAAGTAATTGAAACTTCTGTGGAGTTTTTGTCTTTAAAATTATTCAAAAACTTATGTTGTAGAAAGATATTTTCATGTAAAGTGAGGAGTTCAGAAGATAGGAGGTTTTATTGTTTAAATTATACCTTTATTTATTTCAAAATTATTTATTCACTTTTACCTATTACAAAAATTAGTAAAAAATAAATAAAACCTCTGAGTTTTGCTGATAAAATAATTCAAAAACTTCCGTTACAATAACTTATTTATATGTTAATTAACATTGACAAGGATTGATTTTTTTTTTTTCAAAATTAGGTCAAGTGCAGAAATTAACAGTAGATATGCAAATAATTAATGGCAAAGAGATTGAAGAATAAAATAAGTTTTAACATTACCGAACATTAATACAAATAAATTATATATAATTTTTAACTTACATCCCACTAACATAACAGCTATGGTAAAAATCTTTTCCGCATCTGTGTTGGGTGCAACATTTCCAAAACCAACGGATGTAAGGGAACTGAACGTAAAATAAAGAGCTGTGATATACCTCGACTGAAAAAAAAAAAAATATATATATAGTTTAATGAAAAATAATTTATAATCAGGGACACACTGTCCCAAAGATGTAAATTAATGTATATTTAGAGGTAGTTAAGTCTGATGGAAAGAGAGAAGAAGAGGGTGTGTGGAAAATTGTTATAGATTATAATTGGGAGCTGCTTGATGAATAATTTTCTAATTTGTGATGTGGTTTTATTAGGTTGATTTTATAAGGAAATATTGTCAGTTTTTTTGCAAAAAGCAAAAAGTGACATTTCATAATCTTAAATCACTATCAACTTTGATGAATTTTACCTTTGTGAAATCAGAATATTGTGCATTTAAAATGAAATGAAAAATAAATTTTCTTCTGGGACTAAAGTCTCCTGAGAATAATAACAGGGTTCAAGAAATATGTATATCAGCCTGGCTCTAGAAATAATAGAATAGAATAGAAAATAATTTTATTTTGGGACAAAGTCCCTTTGGAATAATAGAAAAGCACAAAATTAAAATATTAAATCTGGCTTAAATAAAAACAAACACAGAAAAAAAAAAAAAAAAGAGGAATAAGTAAAGAAAACATAGTTAAACATACTATAAACAAAATTAAAAAAAATCTTAAAACACTTGAAACTATGCCAAGACACTTAAAACAATGTACAGTGATAAAACAAATATACACAATAAAAAAAATAAAAAAAATACATTAAATTCTTCTTAGAAATAAATTCTGTGCTTCTGCAGAAAAAAAAAGAAGCCAAATCTGATGGTAAAAATTGCCTGAGTATTTAAATGATGAGGTATGTGTAAATACATCATTATGTGAATCATTATGAATATGTAATTTTACATAAAATGTTAGCGGGTATCTGACTGTTTTTGGGAAAGGAATTGGAATAGGAGCGTTTTAAATGTAGATAGGGAGGGGGAATGCCGAATTTTGATAGTAAGGGAATTCCAGAAACTAACAGAGCAAGCAATAAAGGAGTTTTGGAAATAGGCAGATCTATGAAAAGGGATGTAAAGGTTGGATGGTCGAGATCTCGTGGAAAGGGAAAGGACTGAGGACTTGAATTGGAGAAGGTTGTAGGCATGAAAAGGACAATGATTGTTGATGATCTGGTAGAGGAACGTACCTAGGGAATATTGTTTTCGAATGGAGGAGAAGAGTCACTTTAATTCAGTGAAATGGTGAGGGAAATTGGAGTATCTTGGGGCACCAATTACAAATCTTACGCAGCTGATCATTAGTCTTTTCAATCTGTCACAGAGCTCCACCAAGAGGCCATCACACACCACACAGCTGTAGTCAAAGTGGGGGAAGATGAGAGAGGAAACCAGGAGTCTATGTGTATGTTGAGGTAGAAAATGGCGGAAGCGATGGAATAATTTGAAGGTAGAAATTGTCTGTCGGGAGATGTGAGAAATATGGTGATTCCAGGAGAAGGTTGATGAATCTAAAATCCTAAATTTTTAACAGAGGATTAGAAGGAGATTGACTGGTTATTAAGGTTTAGTATGGAAAAGTCGGTATAGAATCTAAAAAGGGGCTTGGAACCAATTACAAATCTTACGCAGCTGATCATTAGTCTTTTCAATCTGTCACAGAGCTCCACCAAGAGGCCATCACACACCACACAGCTGTAGTCAAAGTTGGGGAAGATGAGAGAGGAAACCAGGAGTCTAGGTGTATGTTGAGGTAGGAAATGGTGGAAGCGATGGAATAATTTGAGGGTAGAAATTGTCTGTTGGGAGATGTGAGAAATATGGTGATTCCAGGAGAAGGTTGATGAATGTAAAATCCTAAATTTTTAACAGAGGATTAGAAGGAGATTGACTGGTTATTAAGGTTTAGTATGGAAAAGTCGGTATAGGATATAAAAAGGGGCTTGGAACCAATAAAAATGGCCCAAGTTTTGGCAGCAGGTAACCTTAATATAATACAAATAAATAAATAAAAACAAAAAGGCTCTTATCAATTAACTGTTTGTAAGCAATTGTAATTTCAATATCTAAAAATTCTTACATAGTTGCGGAAGTTTTAATGTGAAGTGGAGGAATAGGAGTTGTTTAAAGGAATTTGTGGACGTGGTTTTACGTATTGAGATACGTAAGAAGTTCCAAAAGGAGGTAGCAAGAATGACGAAGGATTTCCTGAAGGAAGTGGTTTTAGGAGGGGATATATATAGATCTGTAGGTTGTGATCTTCTTGTATTTAGAGAGTGAACATAACAGAAGAAGTTCTAGGATATAAGGAGGGTTTTTGGTTTTGAGGACTTAGGAGGGAAAAACCAGGAAGGAATTGCAGTTGGGAAGTAGGGTAGTGTTTTTTTTTTATCAATAAATAAAATTAAAATTCACAAAAATGTTTTTAAAATTTCAGCAACATCAATAATGTACTTAGTGACTTTTCGAAATAAATTGACTATGTATGAACTGTTAAATACTGTATCTTTTATAAAGGAATGATGATAAATCAAGAACAGTGGACCATAATCATAAGATAACATAAGTTATCAATGCTGAATTCAAAAAGTAGTAGATAGAGGAACATAGGATCAGAAAATAAAATTAGGATAAAAAAATAAAAAATGCTGGAGGATATCTTTATATTTTTAATACAACTAAAAAATTATTGTGCTTGGTTGTTTAAAAAAAAAGTATTGTTCTCTTTAAATTTTGATATTTCTTGCTCAGTTACTGACTGGTCAAGCTGTCATTGGTAAACAGGAATAGAGTGGAGGAGTGGGCATAGAGTATTTCAACTAGCTATAAAAGTCACCATCTTAATAGCTGGCCAATTATACCTATCAAATATATTTTTTTGTGTAATTTATATTATAATAAATTATATTTATATTTCAAACTTCACCTTTATCGAGGGTCCACCGGTGTTGTTCTGAAGATAAAACTGATGAGTATCATTTGCTAAAATATCTAACCACCCAACTTTACTGGTTAAATGAGGTCGCTCAGCATTACCTATTGCATACCTGAACAAGTAAATGTCATTAATAAATATGATACTGGCACTAAGAAAACTATAAGAAAGACAATTATAAATTTATAAAGAGGCAATCTCTTACAAATGGCCAACATCTTACCAAATGCAGGCTAACCAATGAGCGATGAGTGCAAAAGTAGCCATAAGAAGTAATAAAACAGCCGCTCCATACTCGGAATACCTGTCAATTTTTCTCGCTACTCTAACAAGTCTCAACAGACGTGCTGTCTTCAATAGTCCTATCAGTGTAGTTGTCTGTAAAAAGATTATTTTCTCTAAAAAATGTATAGCTTTAAATTATTAATAAAGATATTAAGTATTGCAAAGAAACAACAAAACTGTTTAAAGCACATTTTTACAAAATGAAACTGCAATATAAAATTGTTTAAAATAAATTTGGTAGTATAAAGTAGCATTGATATAAATGAAATAGTTCAAAGATCTCTTATGGAGTGCCAAGGTGATCATTTATAAAACCATTATATGTCCAGTAGTCACCTATGTAAGTGAGACATGGATCCTGCCACAGAGAATAGAAAAGCAGCTAAGTTCTTGGGAACGAGGAATACTCACAAAAATATACGGACCAGAATCCTCTCAGGGAGAGTGGAGAATAAGAAAAAGCAATGAGTTGAAAGTCTTATATTACCAGCCTAATATAGTGAACATAATCAAATAGGGAAGGTTGAAGTAGCTTGGCCATGCGAAGCATATGGGGATGAGATAGTTGGACGACATTGAGGCAGATCTCTAGCAGCTAGGAGTTAAAAGATGGAAAGCTGTTTTTTAATCAGAAATTTGACAATTTTAGAGGTAACGTGGTTTCTAATGATGTTTAAATGTTTAGAACAGTAATCTTATATGCTGAATGAATTATATATATATAATTACTCTAAGAAAAATAAATATATGGGTGTTACCATCAATGCCCTGACTATAAAGTCATAGATAATTATGCTTCTCTTGATAGAGATGGAACAAAAATAACTGTGGGATGTATTATGAGATCACAAAACAAGAATATTGTGAGCACGAAATTGATAACAACCATTTCATAATGGTTTTACAGAAGAGCCAAGATTTCCTGAAGAGAAGCTATTGTGAGCTATTGTGAGGAATCTTATTTTTTGGTCCATGGAAATATAGAGCTATATAAATACTTAAAGGGAATGAAAATATTGATGATTAAAGCATTAAGGCACTACAATTTGAAAAAGTAAACAATTATATAGTAGCGAGGCCTAAAGTTGAGAAATCTAGAAAAGAATTAGTTAGATACAGATTTATCAAAATTCTCAATAATTTCAAGGGAATAAGAATTGATGAAAAAATATTCTGGATTTCAGAATATCATTTCAATCAATCATAGGACAGAAACGTCCTTAAATAAAAAAAACAAATACGGAACTTTGCAATTTCATTTGTACAAATTTTTTTTATTATTTTAATATGCATCAACATAAAATATTGAAAATATATACATATGATGGTATACTTACAGATAATTTGTACCTAAATATTTATGAATTGTAATTATATTAATTGTAACATATCATAAATAGGCAACTAACAAACGCAAGCCTTATTATATACAGCAACCGGATTCATGCATAAATAAATTTAATATCTAATGTAGCATTATAAAATTTATTAACTTATGTTATATTATTGTGAATCAGGTGAAACTGTGTAATCATAATTATTCTGTACTGGTTCATAAAATGATATAAAAATTAAAAATAGCTTATATATTTTATTAAAAATGCGATGACTGCTATAATAGGAATAATTATTTACTGTGACAGATAGAAAAATAAGAATATCCTAATAACAATTATATAAAAATAAATCTCAGTCTCAGTGTCTCAATGAGAGATAGTGTCTTCGAAATTGATTAGTGTCATGATGATTTTTGTCTTATCAAAAAGAATGCTGAACAGTTTGTTTCCTTAAGTAGCTACTAAGCTCATGCGTCCAATACAGTTGTATAAAAAAATCAATAATGAAAATGATATATTAATGAGAATATTTTAACATTCAAAATTTTATACGTTTCCAAATTGGCTTAATGGGCCTTATATGTGTGTTCCAAACAGTTAATAATATTTTTAAAATTTATAAAAGTGAAAATATAACCTTTAAAAACTTATAATGTAGATAATAATATTAGTATAACAGTAAATTATTATAGTAATTTTAAAATAAAGATGAATTGAATAAAACAGATAATCAAATGATATAAATAAAAAAAAATAGAAACAATAAAATGAAAAATCAATAAATAAAATGTAAGTAAACAAAGAATGAAAAGAAAAAAAAACAGCAATTTTATTTATTAATTTTTATTTTACTATTTGTTTTTCATTAAGGGGTATTCAAAAATAAATTCAACCTGAATCCCAAATGGTGTACCATAATTAGAAATTGTAATGGGACATAAGCAATGGGCGAGTGTCTAAAATCAGTGATGAGCTCAGAATTCCATTAATGAGTTTTTGAACTCATGAATGGAAACCATCAATGGAATTCAGTTTGTATTTTGATTCATTAATTGAATCACCTATGCACAGTTGTTTTATCGGCTTTGGGGTCAATAGATCCAATGCATATAACCTCATTCTAAACTCAGTATTGTTGTTTCTAATTTTACTTTATAGGGTGTTTCTAAACTCAAAGCTAATTCCTTCAAGCAATACATCAACCAATTAAATCCAACAAAAATGTACAGCAACTCATGATGAGTTTAGGAATGATCTGTTGGATTCCAGCAGAAAGTTGACACTCATGGAAGATTACAAAACACATGAAAAATATAAATATGTATATATATATATATAATGAAATACCTACCTACGTAATTGTTCAACTTCAAAATAAAGACTATTTATTTATTTATTTAGACATATAATATTCTGTCACAGGGACAATAATTATATTGATAAATGAACACATTCACACCGTATATACAAAAAAGAAATAAAATTAACAAAAGTAAAATAATAACTAAATAATAATAAATAAAAACTATATACAATAAAAAAATAAAATAACCTAAATAATAAAATAACCTAAGAGATAGAAAGTAAACTGAACAGTGGATCTACTGACTCCAAAAGATGGTGGAAACTGCTGAGCCATTGGTGATCCAATTGATGAATAAAGAACCATACTGAATTCCATCAATAGGTTAATAACAATCTGGTGAAATTTTTATGCCATCGATGAACTCAGTGCTGAGTTTAGGAACTTGGCTATTTTTTAATTTTTTCTTTAAAATAGCGTTCTAATTTGAAGGTATCAATTAATTCTTAATGAAAATTAAATATTTAACCTACCTCTCCTTCAAGATTCTCATAATAAATGACTAAATTTTCTGAACAAGATATGATGTAAAAATGACTAACATGGAAACTAACCACTTGCAAAGAGCAATTAAATCAATTATATAAATATGCTATATATCTGTATATGAGTTTATTTTTAGTTAAATTATAATTTAATAGGGTGTATAAAAATAAATTACTGTTTTTCAATCAAATATTTGTATTATTATTTCTTCGATATAAAATACAATTAAGGCTCAAAGTATAGTCCATTTTTATCTAACGTCATTAGCCAATTGCTCGATCCCACGCTGATACTATTCTTTGGGATGGCTGTCAAAGAACTCTTGGACTGCAATTTCAACTTCCGCAAAATTATCAAATTTTTTCTCTTGAAGGAAATGGGCTATGGATCTAAATAAGTAGTAATCCAACGGTGTGAGGTCTTGACTGTATGGTGGATGAGGCAGGAGTCTCATATCAGAAGGGGTTTTCAATAAATTTTCACAAATTTCTAATCTCTTCTCTGATTGCTGAGGAGTAAGTTAGTAAGGGACCAGTTTACTGCTCTTTTTCACCTTCCCCGTGGAGAGTAGATGGCGACTAACAGAATCTTTCGACACAACACACTCCCTGGCAAGTTTGCGAGAACTTGTGGACGGATTTGACTGAACAGCTTCCTGCAGAACCTCATCAATATCCATTAATGGTCGCCCAGAGCCGGTATTCACTTTAAACATCATATCTCCACTGCTAAATTTTTTAAACCAATGCCATGCCATGCACTGGTCAAGGACACCTTCCCCATCATATTTAATAATTTCACGAGTTGCTTCAGCGGCTGTTAATTTTTTTCCCCAGTAATGTCTTAAAATTAGAGAATTTCATAGAACACTGTCATGTTTCTTCTTTGAAACAAATAAGGGTTTTTTTGAAGAAGTCGATTGGGATTAAATAAGCTTAGAGCTTGCTCTAAAGGGATTATTAAGTATTGGTAAGTATTAAATAGGATTAAAATATTTACAATCCTTCAGAATCTTGAATTTGATAAAATGGTCATTTTTTTTTTATACACCCTATTAACTAATTTATTTAATTAATGCAGGAGGAATTACTAAGTTTTTAAGAGATGAACCAAAAGTGTAATGTCTGAGAACTTATTCAAAAATAAGTGTGACAATTTGGGTATCCTAAATAAAATAAATTTTCAGTTTAAATAGAATACTGGAATAATGGATGCCATTTATGAGAAGAAACTACAGAGAGAGAAAGCTGTTGAAAGCATCTACTAATCTCTATAATGCAGGAGTTCCCAAGCTTGGATTTTCTAGCAATTATTAACATTGTTTATTTTGAAAAAAAAATATTAACTAAGTAACAAATACATAAACAAAAAAAAAAAGTATCATTAAAGACAATAAGAGTAAATGAAAAAAAAAAAAGCTATATTCATCCATATTCATCATAACAATTATTATTCTAAAAAATTTTTTGCATTAAGCACCTAAAACAACCATCTTTATCAGGACTAAATATGAGATAATTGGGGCAATCTTGAACTTCGGCTAAACTAGGGAGTTTGACAGGTTGGGCTTGAGGGCTAAAAGTTTCTAAGAATCAAAACATAAGCAGAAAATGGAAATGAAAACATCTGTTACGAGAAAGGTTTCTTTTTTTCAAGTTTGCAATACACAATTCATATTACAATAATCAAATAAATTTATTTTCCTCAACAAATAAATAATTTGTAGTAGATAAATTAATGATATTAATAAAATTTGATTGGGTTGCCAGGGAAGTATTTTTGGCTACTTCACATATATATTTTTTAAATTACTTCCCTTTATTCTCCATTCTGTTTACATTTAAATATGACTAAACAAAAAAAAAAATTAAAAAAGTTTAGAAGACCCTGGGTATTGGTTCATTAAT